AGGCCTCGCCATGGTCGACGCTCTCCAGACCATCCTCCCCGACCCGGTGCCCGTTCACCACCTCGGCCTCTACCGCGAGCCCTCCACTCTCGAGCCCGTAGAGTACTACAACAACCTGCCCCACCACATCCCCGACCCGACCCTCACCGCCGCCTCCACCTCGGCCGCCGCCTTTGCGTCTGTCTCCACCGCCGCCTCCACCCTCGAGGCCGAGGCCAGCGGCGGCGCCGCCAACGCCTCGAGCCTCGCCATCATCCTCGACCCCGTCATCGCCACCGGCGGCACCTGCGCCGCCGCCATCAACACGCTGCGCGACTGGGGGGCGCGCCGCATCATCGTCCTCTCCGTCATTGGCGCTGCCGACGGCGTCAGGCGCGCCGCGAGTGAGTGGCCCGAGGCCACGGACATTTGGGTCGCGGGCGTCGATGCCGAGATTACGGCCGAGGGCATGTTGAAGCCTGGTCTGGGTGACGTGGGCGACAGGCTTTTCTTGACCATTGGAAAATAAGCACTTGATAGTTGGTATCAGTCTTCGTTTTCCAGGTGCTTCGCTCGGCGGACGGTTCTTGGGTGAGATGCGGGGGTATGCTTTTGGCGGCGCCTTACACGGGTATTTTGCTGCATCATCGTATCATGGGTAAGAAAAAAACATATCGGGACATAAATCTACCACTCACATGCCCAGACTTGTGTTTCAATACAAGTAGAAAACCGACAGTCGTAATGTGCGTAAAAGCAGGGCTACCGAGTAAAGGGTCTGAATTATGGCTGTGAACATTATACCCTGTATCGCTCCTCGTCGAGCATCGTCCTCTCCTTCCACGAGTCCTCTACCCATTGTGAAGCAACAACGCGGGGTATCTTCTGCCGGTTGCCGATGTCCTTGCGCACCGAAACGGCCGCATCCTGTTTCTCTGCATCTCGCCCTCCGACGAGCATAATGTGCGTGGATGAATCAACGGGCAAGCCATCGGTAACCTCCCCGCCGCCGAAGGCAATGTAGTTCCGCAAGCGAAACGCGTCGAGCTCCCCACCGGGTAGAACATGAAGGTGAACGACACAACGACCAAAGACGGCACTATCCCGTTCGCCCAAGTCGTTCCCCCTCTCCTTGAGCTGGCGTGCAAACTCGGCCGCGTCCTCGTCGCGCTCTTCACTCTTCTCGTGCGGAGACATGTCAACCAGAATCTGCCGCAGCTCCTCCACGTCTACAATCCGGAAGTAGCTGTCACCAAACTCGTCTGTGTTCTGCCTAGCAATCTCTCGCAGGCCCTCTGTTGCGTGGAACAAATGGCGTTCTTCGTAGGGCAGAAGACCGTCGTCGGTTTCTTGTGCGAGACAATCTTGAACCCAATTGGGCCGGATGATGTCCACGTCGCCCTTCTTGATGAGACTGGCGACGCTGACGACCCGCTTGTCCGCGATAAGGATCAGGTCTGACCGCGCGGCGTGTCGCTGCGTGATGCGACCGCCGTTTGCTTTGATCGTTGTCTCCAGCTGTGTCTTGGTCTTCTTGAATGGCTTGAGGGATTCGGACAGGACGCAGAATTCCAGCCCCTCGAAGACCTTTGACTTCTCGCCCTCAAACTGAACAGGTGTGCTGTCGGTGCCAGCAATGACAAGTTCCTTCTTGACACGCTTGACAGCTCTGCGCTTTGTGTTCTCCACGCTCATTGTCTTCTCCTGAGCCTCCTCTTCGACACGTCGACGCAGGTCCTGGAATTCCTGCACGCTGAGGCCCTGATCCCAGCTCTTGTCTTTTCGGAGCTTGCGAAACCTGGGGAATCGCAGCGTGAAGCCCAGGGCAAATTGATCGGATGGGCCGACGCTGGAGGCCTTTGCTTCGAGGACAAATGAGTCCTTTGGCCTGATCCAGACATCTGGTTTCTCGGCAAAGCCGTGTGCTAATTCAATGTACTCGTTCGGCGGCTTCTTGGGATCCCAGTCCTTCCACTTGCCGTCGGTGTGATGACGAATCTCGGCATAGTCCTCCACGCTGAAGCCGCCGCCAACTTTGAAAAGACTGAAGCACTTCTCGGGGTTGGCTCCCGCTTTGATGTGGTTCTCGCTGACGCGCAGGCCGCACAAGTACGTGGAGAGAATGCCGCCTCGCTTCCCCGAGCCGTAGTAGCCGCCAATCACGACACAATCGAGCGATTCGCCAAACTCTGTCATGTACTCGGGCTTCACTTTGAGCCAATCGTCGTTCCGGCTGTTGAGGCGGTACATGGAGCGCGGGTTCTTGAGGACCAAGCCTTCCGAGGCCTCGGCGACGACTTTGCGAAGGAGTGGCTCGATGGCATCTGCCGATGTCGCGGCCTCGTGCTCGTGTACCTCTATCCTTCTGTGTACACCAATAACAGCTTTCCTCAGCGCATTGTAGCGATCGCGGAGGGTGTATCGCGTCAACGGCTGGTCATTCAGGTACAAGATGTCAAAGACGCGGAAGAGCGGGCGGGGGCCAGTGTTGTTGTAGGGGTTCTTCTGTTCAGCCAGCGCTGCCGTCTTCAAGGTGCCAAACTGCATGATCTTGTCGGTGTCCGGGTCCCAGGTGATCATCTCGCCGTCCAAGATGATGTTTCGCACGCCAGCGGCAAAGGCCTTGCCGAGGTGTCGCGTCCACGCGCCGCGATCGTCCTTGAGGCCCTCGCCGTAGAGGTAAGTATAGTCTTTTCGCCTTGCGCGACCAGAAGCAGAAGCGCTGTGCCGCCGATATATTGAGGCGTCTCTCCATCATGTGCATCTGCATCCGTTCGCCGTCGAGCTTTCTCCTCGATCCAGTACTCGGGATCCTCTCGGTGGGCGCAGGTAGTCGACCATCTTCTGGAACGATGCCGGCATCTGAAACTGCGCTAATTGTGGCTGGAAGCATTGCATGAGGGTGACGCCCGTGTTCTCCTGCTCCAGCCGGACCTGTGGGTCGAACAGTTCCCAGCACACGCGCCGCAGGCTGGACGACACGTTGAACAAAGTCTCGGCGTCGGGGTGCCAGAGATGAAGCAACGTCTTTTCCGTGGCGCCAACCTTCATCTGCTTCAGGATGATGCGGATCAGCCACATGAGCTCTTCGGCGTTCATGCGCTCGTAGAACGTCTCAAACACTTCGAGGTTCTCCAGCTCTCCCGAGGACCCGGCCAGCTTGTCGAGCAGCTCATTGACGTCGGCAATCGTCATGTCACCCACTTCGATGCGCATGGGACGCTTCGACAAGACCTCAAAGGCTCGACCCGCAAAGTCGCCGGCCATTCGCGACGCCGTGGTTTGGCCGGGCAGCTTCCAGTGCAGGAGGTTGTAGCCGTCCTCGGAGTTCTTGTCAATCTTCATGAGCTTGACGAGGAGCTTGCCAATGGCGTTCTCCTTGAGGCCATAGACGCCCCTGTCACGGTCCTTGTCGGGCAGGATCAATCGCATGGCCGGGTAAAAATCGTGGCCGACATTCTTTCGCCATCGCGAGATGAACCGGTCGATGATGTGGCGGCGCTGCTCGCTCGGCGACGGCTTGGAAGGGCCATGGGGCCCGAGTTTGGCGCGGGGCGGGCCCGAGCCGGGGGGCTGCTTCTTGTTCTCCATCAAGGGGTTGAAGAGGCTCTTAAAGAGCTCCGAGAAGAGGAATGTCTCGGAGTGATTCCTTGGGCGACCAGGGTAGCTGCGGCTTGGTCAGTGATTGCCGCGAGACAAGTTGCAGAGGCGAGGGTCGCACTTCTCGTTGACCTCTTGCGAGGTCATACCACCGACCGCGTACTGGCGCTCATCTTCACCGATGGCGGCCGCGCTCGGCGACGGTTGTCCTTCTCGGTGGCTCATCACGGCAGGCAAGGCCGTGGCTGAATGCTACGGGCAGTGTCTCAGCGCACGAGGTTGCTGAGAGGACGAAGCTGACGCGCGTATCGGAATTCGGGAGGACAGTAACAGGATCGTCAAAAGCTTTCTTCATGCGTTTTCATGTAGGTGCATTATGGAAAGTGATGCAGAGACCAAGACCCAGGCTCTGTTGTTATAATGTTGGTCTTTGGAAGGCGGACGCATCTGGGGCAGGCACTCACAGGTGGTCGGTGCCTGGAGCTGCTGCAGCCTTGGAAAAGCGGGACACCCATGATCGCCTCTGTCCACCAGTAGCCGCATACATACAAATCCCCAGACGCATCGCCCCCCACAAGGCCATCTGTCCGGATAGCGGCATCCCAACCGACGCGTCATTCCATCCGAGCCATCACAGCATAACAACCTTGTATCAACTTCATCTCGTCCTTCACTCATCTCGCTCTTTCTCGCACGGGTAGAAAGGGCCATACGACGGCGACCCAGGGCCGCGTCGCATTTCAATTGGGACGGCTTCTAACTACCTACTCGTTGACCGTATCTCATCCATCATGCCTCAAGGGTAAAATCATGCAAAACATCGCTGCCGTCCATGGAAATTCCTCCCGTTTCAAGTGTACCATACAGTCAGTCCGCCACCATGTTGTCTCACTGCCTCGCCAGGATAGCCTCCACGGTCGACCCTCCTAGCTTCTTTGCCTCGCCAAGAACGTCTTCCGAAGATGACCCTCCCGGACTCGTCAGTGGTGCGAGCGAAGAACCTCACAGGCAAGGCAAGGGCAGGGGCATCACACGCTTAAGAGCGGGTAGAGAGAGTGTCAGAGTGGACCTTCTCGACGTCGACCTCGCGCATGGGCTCGGTGACCTGCTTCTTCTGGTTCTTGCGGCGGACGAGGAAGAAGGCAAGGGCGGCGAGCAGACCGAGACCGGCGACGACGCCGACGACGACGCCGGCAATCTCACCGCCGGCGAGGCCGGACGAGCCCTTGTCCTCGGAGGCGGTGAAGTCCTCGACGGTGTGGGGCGTCTTGCCGTTCTCGTCGGTCGTCGTGACGCTGACCGAGCCGTCCTCCTTGACCTCGGGGTCGGAGATGGTCGAGTTGAAGCAGGGGATCTCCTCGTCAAAGGCGGCAAACTCGACAAACTCGACGTCGGCGCAGGCGTAGTGCGTCGTGCGGTCGGCCTCGTTCTCCTCAAAGTTGGCGACGTAGAGGATGCGGTACGTGGCGTTGCTGCCGGCCGTGACGCTGGCGGGGTGGTCCGGCACCGTGATGCACGTGTGGCCGAGGTCCAGGGCGCCGACCTGGTCGGGGCCGTAGAACGTCTCAAAGTCGGACGCCGACGTGGGGTCTATCGCCAGCTTGTGTCAGTCATGTTGTTTTCCCATCGGCATGGCTCGCATCCACGAGCGGGGTCGTAGGGCTGGACTTACTGTTGCTGTACGAGACACCAACGTGGACAGCACGAGTGTTGTCCTGGGTGACGAGGGCGAGCCTGCCGTTGGCTACGTGGTCACTGTCAGCGTGTGTTGTGCAAGAGGGTACAGGATGACATCGTCGGGTCGGTCGATGAAGAAACGGTTTGACGGAGACAAGAAGAATTACTCACTGAGAGGGAAGGCAGTGCGCTCGCCGAGCTGGGCACCGCCGCAGGGGGCCGTCTCGTCGGTGGCATCCACCCACTTCCTGTCGGCGGGCCAGAGGAAGGCGGCGGCGCCCATCTCGTTGCTGGTGGTGGCCTGAGCGACGGTGGACGAGGCGAAGAAAGCGCCGACGAGGGCGACAACCTTGGAAGAGACCATTTTGGGCAAGGGACCAGAGTGTGTAAGCTCAAGAGAAGGGATGGGTGTTGAGGCTTATGCTTGTCAGAGAGAAGACACTGGGCTTGGGTTGGGGGCTTGAAGCTGGGGCAAAGGAGGTCAAGAGAGCCGTGAGGAGAGAAAACGAGAAGGAGGATCACGGCATGTTGGGCCGTCGACCACAGCCATATATGGTTTCTCTGCGTCTCGTCGCCAAGTGGTCGAGGTCCGCAGCAGGTGAGTGTGTCTCCCGCCAGCCCCCGTCTCTCTCTCTCTCTTACTTTCCTGCGTCCTGCCTCGGATCGTTTTTGCTGCTCGCCCACTGGCTCCTACGCCCCGTTCGCTCGCACTATCTAACCTTTGGCTATTACCTACCCAGGTAAGCCAAGGTACCCTCACCTACCATACACATGCTCAAACCCCGCCCCCCTCGCCTCTCAGTTGCCGACAAACCACCGATCCAACCGTGCTGCTACCGGCAGAAGGCAGGGTGCCCAGGCCACGGACTAGCATGTCGCGAGCAGCCGACCAGCAGACTCTTACAGCCAAGACTGACCAGCGGCCTGGTACACACCCTATTTCGCCACCGCAACGAGCTGTTATTCGCTCAGGCCACACCAACCTGTCCTTGTCCAGGCCCACGTCCATGTCCAGGCCCCCGTCCGTTTCCAGGCCCCGTACTCGTCTCTTGGCCCTCGTCTGGACGGTGGCCCCCATGGGCAGAATACCCCCGTTAGTCCCACACGTCCCCACCGGATCCTTGGGCTCCACTGGCCCCTCTGAGAAAAGTTATCAGATGGTGACACTGGCCAATGAAGCCATCGAGGCATATCCACCATAATTCTAATGGCGCCATATCAGATCATCTGATTAGATGATCTCTTTGTTTCTGATTGGACAATGCGATCAGCCACGGCTCTAGCTCGTCTTGGCTGCACAGATAACTCGTCGAAAATGCTGTCCGACTCATCCACCTGGTGCTCCTCGGTCCTCCCTAGCTCCTCGTCTGCTTCCGTCTGCCCTTCCCACACATCGCACTTGACTGCCCATTTCAGCTGTCATCCCCTCTTCTCGTCGTATCCGGCTGCGGCGCGCAGTTTCTTCGATAGTTCTCATGCCCGGTTTTGGGTTGCACTAGGCGCGTGTCGACTTGCCATTTTTTTCCCTTCCTTTCACGACAGCGGCTGTCCGTGTCAGGATCAGGGTTCTTTCATCATCGGCCAGCCCAGCTATTACTCCGAATCTCTCACACACGTTCTCTCTCTCTCTCTCTCTCTCTCGTCATGGGGAAAGGATTTGAGTCACAGCTTATCCTCGTCGTCCCACACTCCACTGCACTCCCTGTCTCTCGGGTTCGTCCATCGTGTGCCGGATCGGCGATATCGGCCTAAGCGCGCCCGCCACGTCTTGCCAGTTACCACCGGTATCCGACTGGGCGGAGCACCATGCGAGGTCGGAAATTGTGCGACGGCATGTGTTCGCGCGCGAGCGAGTTGATCATGTTCTGGCACGCTTTCTGACTCTCTTTATTCTGGTTCTCTGCCCCGCTTGCCGCTCTGCAAGGACCATGTGTCCGTCCATTTGCCCCATCTTGTCGCCACGCGAGCCATCGCTGCTAGACTATGGCCTGCTGGTCCGAATCGCCCGACTCAGCCACCAGGATGCCAGTCTTCTCGCCTGGCCTTACTTGGCGCGCCGGAAGGGAGATTAGGACGATGCGTAGCCAGGAACCTTGCAGCTCATCGTCTCCTGGCCCTGACGGATGCAACGTAAACATTGCTGGGTACAGGAGAAGCTAAGGTATAAGACGCTGAACCTTCTCGCCTTCGTCCCTCCATCACCCGACTCTCTCTTCCCTTCCTCCAGCCAATCTTATCCAGCCATCTTCGCAAGTCTCCTCGTCGTTTGTCTCTCGCTCATAGGTCACTCGTTCCACTCTTGGTTACTACAAGCTTCTCAAGCCGCAGTCCAACCCCCACGTCAGACTTTCCAACACACCCCCAAATCTATCAACATGGTTGCCACCCGTATCTTCTCCGTCGGTGCCGCTCTGGCCCTGGCTCTGCCTGCCACTGCCTCGCCCACCCTCGCTCGCCGCAGCTTCGAGATTAGCGAGTTCACTCCCTTCCAGAAGCGCCAGGTCTCCAGCGAGCAGTTTGCCTGCCACTCCGCCTGCGGTATGTCTACGCCTGAACCTCTCATAGGCACTGGTCATTCCGAAAACTGACATGATCCAGGCAACACCATCATCGAGTCCGAGAGCGGCACGGCGCACTGCTCTTCCACCGCTTGGCGTACCCGCCTCGACGAGTGCTTGGACTGCGTCCAGGACTTCCCCATCTGGCAGTTCTACAGCGAGGGTGTCCAGGCCGGCGCCACCGCCTGCGGCCTCACCGCCGAGCCTGGCTCCCCCTCCTCCGGCGGCGAGACCGAGACCACCCCTGCCGCTGAGCCCACTGCTGCTCCCGTCACCACCACCGCTGCTGCTGCGCCCACCACCGCCGCCGCTGAGGAAGAGACCACTGCCGCCGCCGCCGAGACGACCGCCGCCGTCCCCGCTCCTGAGCCCTCATCTCCCGCCTCTGAGGGCGAGACTACCCCCGAGTCTCAGTACCCCGTCCCCACCGTCTCCGAGGCCGCCCCAGTGGTTTCCGAGTCCGCTGTCGCCTCTGTTGTTCCCTCCACCGTTGCCACTCCCTCTGGCAACAACGTAAGTTTTTTGTACAGCCCTTCATCTGCGAATGTTTCATTGACCAGCCATATCTAGACCATTCCTGAGCCCACCACCGTCGAGGTTGACGGCGCTGCCTCCCTCGGCTTCATGGGTGTTGCCGCCATGCTCGGCCTCGCTGCCATTGCCCTCTAAGCGACTTGTTTGGTTTCCAGGCAACTGAAACTGAGGCGTTTGAAAACCGTATGGCCATGATGGAATGGCCTTGTTGTAATAGCTTGCTGTTCTGTACATAACACTGGGGAGAGATGCGATTATGAGTCATTGGTAATGACCCTATTAATAAGATAAAAGATGGGATATGATGATTTCATCTGCATTGTTGTGATGTATGATCTACTCAGTCCCTTCGTCGTAGGTACTGGACGGGCCAATTCAAGGTCTGCCAGATTTAAGTACGTCTTCCTACTTAGATCCACGGGCCCGTTGGGATATATGTCGCAAATTGAACTCGTTGAATTCTTTGCTTGACATAAGATTTCTCATGGCTCCGCAGCACATTCTCACATTTATTCTCATGTTTCTATTCAAACTGTCCCGGCTGACGTTTTTGTGTCTCCTCCTGGACATGGAAAGATGAGATTTCCAGAAAGCCTTGAGTGCTTGCATGCCCGGCCGCGTCTGCACGTCTCGAAAGCCTCGCATGAATGGAAGCAAGAGCCAGCACAACGCATAGCAGTACCAGCCACCTTATAGACGTCGTCGGCAGAATGTTAATAGAGAAAGTGCTAACAGCGTTACACATCCCGTTCGCCCCACGAAAACCATTTTCAGGTACCCGAGTTCCTTCAAAAGCCGACTTGGAGAACCAAGCCACATTCACAATCCCGTGTTGCGGTATCGGGCGGCTTTCCACGGATGGCCCGAACGTCGTCCAAGACGGGAACCGCTTCAGGCCTGGCTCGAATCTGGTCTCCTACCAGACAAGTATCTCCGAGCCAACCGCCCGACAGGCCGGCCGAGCCCTTTCCAGCATCCCGCAACCTCGCTGCATTGGGGCGCTTGTGTGCTGACCAATGAGTCCATGCATGTTGTTCGTGTTGATTGTTCTTCCAGACATGCCTGTTGGTCCGACGTGATGCCTGAGATCGAGATCGCTGGCAGCCGTCTGCTTGAACTTGGAACGATGCTACCAGAACCGTCCATGTGGTCAGGCACTGCCTCTCAGCCACTCCGCCGTTCAGTCTCTGTACTCTCACGCTGTCGGTGGGCTAGGGTGGCAACCCTTGCGCCTCTTGGCCAGCCCCGGGCTGCTACCGGCAGCCCAGGAGTGCAACTCTACGCGACGTGCGTCCGCAATTAGTCCGCCGGTCTCCGAGACCGCCAACAAAAGTACATGGGGGAAAGCGACGAGTGACACAGACTCCACTGTATGATGAAATCACCAGCGTGTCGTGCCAGCACAGGCCAACATCATGCTATCAAGTGAACTCACATGCTGGTCTGACCATTGTTCAAGATAAGTTCACACGTTACTGACGCATTGTGTCCTGACAACAACCCTGGGAATGTGTCCTGATCTTGGTCTCAAGCGGCTGAATCTTCAACAGCTCGCTACAAAGAACGTGGCTGAATATTGAACTATACTGTAGGGCCACATGACTAGCTGTACATGACACCCCCTGTTCCCAAACCATGACCCATGCCGCGGGCCAAGAATTCTGGCATCCTGCGTTCTTGGCTTGATCTGATAACGATAGGCTCCTACCGGACGGCCAGAACGTGGCCATGGCGGATCCCACTCGTCCACAAGGGATGGTGCAGGTGATCGGCGTGGGATCTTGACATTATCAAACCGGTAGGCCAGCAAACCAAGATGTCTATCTAGTACTTCCTGCGTGAAATCATGTACGGAACTGGATCCAGAAAAGCCATGATTGAACGTACCCGCCCCAGCCACCTCTCTTCCTTCGTTCTCGCTCAATAGCCCGAGAGCCCTGTTTCTTTCTCCTCGTCTCGTGCGTCGCATTGGACAAGGCCCAATCCCAATGCTCCGTAGTTCGCAGGATAGTTGCCCGACAGCATCCATAATCTGGCTCTTCTACCGCAATTTGATCTAGTTCACTCTGCAAAGCCTCGATGTCATCGATCAGCCAGGCAACATGCTGTCTCCTCATGGACCTGATCTCACCGAGCACGAGGTTCAGTGTTATCAGGACAACACCGCGGATATCCTCCATACTGATTGGGCTTCGAATCCCAGTATCTTGTAGACTTGAACCTGACTTCCCCGCCAGCAGTCTGGCCACGGAACAGGCCGCAAGCATTCATCACTGGCACCAACCTGCGCCCTCTCATCCAGTGAGAAGCCCGAACGCGCCGGCAGCAGCGGCAGCATCACTCTTGGCACACAAACCGTCTCCCTCCAGCCAATCGTGGCAGTAACGGTACGTGACTCAAGTCCGAGGCGTTCAGAGCCGCTGGGATGCTGTACCGCAGTCACCAGTCTACCCTCGACCTCGTTCACCCCCTCTCCAGCCACCAAGCACGTGAGACTGCGCCAGCAGATGCGGGAGTACCTCTTCCTTGGCCAGCATGCCAAGTTCCACGAGGTTTTTACGCCGATCATCAACGTCCCTTGTCCGCAAGCGCAACGTCCAGCGCAGACAGAGAGACCCAAACGCGTGGTTGCGGGCTTTGCAATCCCTCGCTTCGATCATGGCCGAGCCCGACTTTGTAATCCGCGTGTATGTCGTGAACGCGGAGCATCTTGCTACTGCGGCCCCGCGGGCCTGGCGAACCCTTCGGGGGGGTCGGTCGACGAAGTCCTGCTTGCATCCCAATTGCATGACAGCGCCCCCACGCCGTGGAACAAAGCGACACGCTGCAGCTGCGAGTTATCCTTTGTGATAAGTCACGGCGAGTTGCTCAATTTGCTCGCTCACTGAACGCACACCTCACCCCGCTCGTGGTGCCGGCGTCAGACGTGATGTTTTCGTTTGACCAGCAACTCTGTGATCATCCATTCTGGACCGTAGGCATCACTGGCGGACGAGTCGAAGAAGAAAAAGACCTGCGGTCTAGAGCATCAGCTTCCCGTCGCGCAAAGGTCATTGTAGCGACTTCGCTTTCGAGTTTTTCCAATGAGATATCGCTCGGATGCGAGTTCGGGGGATGGTGGTTCTAGAGAGAGCGTAGGTGGACTGGAAAACGTAAATCTCGTCAGAGTAGCCGCCGAGACAACATTCCGTTCTGCAGACGCTGTCAGCTTGATGGCCACCTGCGACACGCTCTCGCCAAGCTTAGTCTTGTTGTAGGGTGGTGCGAGGGACAGCCCGTGGACGGTTCTCACGTGAGAGAGGGGATGCCGTGCCGGTTCTGGCGTTGGCGTTGTGACTTTGTCTGCGAGCCTGGGCCGGACCAGTAGTGTGTTGCTGTTCGTGGAAGGGTTGATCTTCGCTGGGAAGTTCAGGTCCTCTGGACCCATTCTCGGCATGGCAGGTAGATAATGCATGTGTACTAATCGACCTTTGGCAACGGCGTCGGCTCATGGGCGTATGACTTCTTAAGGTTTCCCCTGTGTGCGAGTTGCAATTTTCACTTTCTCCTCCGTAATAGAAAGGATAACTAATACTTGAGGTCTCCAATTCTCACAAGGCTACGAATTCTGAAATGAGCCTGATAGACAGGTCAAGACTCACAAGTATCCTGTTCCGGTTCATGTTTTTACGATCAGGCCAACATCATTGCGTTGATCTGCCGAAACGCGCGGTCAGAGAGTACAATTGCTGATCCGGAGATCAGAGTAGCAACTGTTTTGACTGGGAGCTTTCATATTCTTTGTCCACCTTGGCCACAAGGCCATGCGGCATAACTCGAATCCCAAGCGTAACTGACAAAGGCTGACGGACGTAGTTTCTCGACCACTTTTCCTGTTGACATGCCATGTTCAGGAAATGTCCCTCGCAAAACTTACTGATCTGATCATGACGATTGCGAATAGCCTCGAGCCTGGGTATAAATTCATCGTAGCTCCTTGACAAGCGGAACATCTCAGCCCCAGACCATCATACCATCGACAGTAACTGACAGCGCAGCTAGACATAACCGAACACACTCCTGTTGATCCTGTTGAGCCTCTAATTCCGCAGACTCGCAGCAAAAACCATGGCAGACAAGGCAGTGACCAAGCTCCCGGCCCGCATACAGGACTCAAAGCCCCGCAAAGGCGAGACGTTGCGCAAAGAGCAGTATCGCTACCTCCGCTGGGAGCGCAGGCACAGCCGCAATGGAGGCCTAGGATGGGCGCAAATTATCTGGCCCAATATGCCTGAGAAAGCTGGCGACACCATCCCCTCGCTCCCGAGCATCCGTGAGCTGATCAGTAGCCTTATTGTGCGCGGCGCTCTTCCTTTGCCGCTCGCTTTTCACGTGACTGAGTTTGCCAACGGCATGTGCAGTCGCGTCTTCAAGCTTGAGTTTCCCGAGGGCACCGAGATGCCTGACGGCATGAAGAGCACAGTACTGCTCCGTTTCGCAGCGCCCCTGGATCCGTACTGGAAGACAGAGTCGGAGGTGGCGACCATGGCATGGCTGGCGGCCAAGACCTTTGTGCCGGTCCCGCGGGTGTATTTCTTCGATTCGTCGGCGAACAACGACCTCGGGTTGGAATGGGTGATTATGGAACTGGTCGAGGGATACACGTTTGCCAACTGGATCGACGACTGGGCCGACGAGGATGGAATGGACCAGCTGACGTTAACAGATGATCAGATGAGCCTCGTTGGCTATCAAGCCAACAGTTACCTGTTGAGCCTGCGCGCACGCCAGTTCGACAAGATTGGCAGCCTGTACTGCAACTGGGGAACAGGTGAGTTCTATGTCGGCCCGATGGTTCACCTTGACTACTTCCATGGTGACCGTCTCCAGTACGAAGGTTTGCAGCGGGGACCATTTAGCAATATTTCCGAATATTTCAAGTCCCTGACGGATCTCACGATTCTCGAAGCCCGCCACATGCAGGAAGCTGATCGGAACCAGGTCCTGGCACTGACCGGTGCTGCGTGCTGGGACGTTGTTGGCGAGAACGATCCTGGGTTTACAAAGCCACCGAGCGTCCAGGGTTTACAGAGTCGCGCCAACCAGATCAACACCGAGCTGATGCCACGCCTACTAGCGCACGTCAGGGACCTACCAACATTTGCCGGGGGCGTGAACAACGAGGCTGGGCCCGTCGACGGATGGCACACTGAACTGATGCATCCCGACTTACATAGCAACAACGTGCTCGTTCCCCGTTCGGCGATCGGGATACCCAAGATCGCGGCCATCATCGATTGGGATTGGACGTGTTTGATGCCGCCCTCGCTGTCGGGGTCATGCCCGCCCTTGAGTTGGAATTTCAGGATAGGCTGGCTGGGAGCGTCAGGTAACCAAACGCGCAATTGTTGGAAATCCATCATATCCTCGCTCCTGGCGATCTGGAGAAGGATATTCTTCCGACGCTGCAGGGCTATCCCGTCAACAACATTGCATCCGCGATCTCAAGCCCAGCGAAGAAATTCATTGTCAAGCGCGCCCTGGCGCTGCGAAGCGGTTCACCTCGTGTGCCGAAGAATAGCAGCCTCGGATTCTCGCGACATGGAATGGGTCACCAGCCGCTATCGAATATCTGAATCAGCAGCAGCAGGGTGGGGATTGATAGATTGACCGGCCGGTATGCTTTGAGGGCCTCGTCAAGTGAGTATTCAGTAACGACGCTGTAGAAAGCACGTGTAGACATTGGTTGACTGACGCGAGACCTGGCGTTCATGAGAATGGTTGGGTCTCTGAGTAAAAGGAAATCTGTAGACCATAGATTAGAAATGAGCCTGAGAGACACGAGAGATTTTGGTTATGCGAGCCACATGAAGTGAAGTCAGCTGAAGTTGATGGCCGCTTGCCCAGCATCTGTCTTGGCAGTAAATTTTGCTCGTGGTTGGAGGAGCACAACCCCAGCGTAGATTACAGGCAAGGCGACATGCTCGTCGGCAGCTTGTCCACAAGTTGGACCAAAAGGTCCGAGAGAGAAGGGGCAAGGGAGGGGTTCAGATCGCGATCAGGAACACGTCCATCCTACGTGCGCCTCGTCCTTGACACAGTCAGGGCCGGCAAGCACCGAAACGTGTTTTGTGCGCCATGCCAATCTCCCCCAGGAGTAGCTTTCCCGCTGGTGATGCTGTGGCTTTGACTCGAACAGCCCGTCTGGTGGTGCAAGTCGCACTAACAGCGGATGGCGTCACTGGTATCGCTGGGTCGCGAGGGAGTGAACTATCGGCTGACGTCATGGACAGCCATTAGGGGGTTCACCCAGTGAACCCATTCTTTGCTGCCTCGACGAGCCGCAGTAGTAGTAGTAGTAGTAGTAGTTTTCCAAGAGCATCTGCTTGCGGACTCTGCAAAGCCCACAGGCGAGCGGCATGCTTGACAACGCGGTCAGACGATTTGGCGATCTGGATCGAGTTTGCTGGCCTTAACAGGCTCGACGGGGTGGACAGGTTTCCACACCTGCGGAAGACTTGGGGGGTGCAGGGCTATGGGGTCAAGCGTTACGCGTCGGGTAGCGATTATGACGATGTGCAAAACAAATCCTGTCCCCTTGCTCGCTGCACCAAGCATTGAGGCGCCTGGTCCGGCTCGTCATGTCTTGTGCCCGCCGTTGCATCGCGAGATGCAGAGACAGACGGGGGGGGAAGAGCACGGCCTGGTTCAGATGGAGTCGCTGGTGTCGCTTGGCAGGATATCCGGGGGGCTCGTCAGAAGCACACAGAGAGCATCCGTTTTCTGCGATGCAATGCCGTTGTCATGGGGAATCGATGCGCCCTTCCATCGCGCCGTTTTCGATTGCAACCAGTGTAGCATTGGCTGTATCGAAAGGAAACGTGAATGGGGTGCACATTGGAATGTATCCAGCTAATGTGATGGCAATCGAGACATGCAGGGACGGGGCGCCTGACCGAAGCGCTTCAGGTGGCCAGGGTGCATCGCAAACAGAGGTCTGCGTTCCAGCCCAGGCCCGCGACGTGCTCAATTGATAGTTCGTCGCACTCCTCCCTCCAGCTTCATGTGGATACCATCCGGGCATGCGCCGGGATGTGGGCACCGACTGGGTAGCCAGCTGGCCGGCTGTAGGGCAAGGCGTTGCTGGGGGGTAGCTAGCGGGCGGTCCATCGTGGGGTATGACGCTGTTGAGGCTACGAAACGGGGGCGCGTCGTGAGAATCTCCGGGCGGGCCAAGGACAGGTTAGAACCCGCCTCATCGATCGGCGCTGGGGTCATCGGGGGGGGCGTTCACGGGAGATTGGCCACAAGCTGAGCCAGCATCGTGGTTTCTGTCCCAGTTCTTCGTCAATTGGGTTGTTCGCTTCCCAAAGAGGGACTGGGGGGGGGAGTCTATCAGGCTCGTGAACCCCGTGTCGTGGCACATGCATGTTCTCGTCGACTCATCAAGGATCGGTGGACCAGACGGTGTGGGCGTGGCCAGCCGCTATGGATGAGAATCGCCAAAGACTTGGCAGCACGGAGCAGGCAGAGTCTAGGCCTGACATCTGGCTGCGCTCTCGAAGAACGGGCACGCGCTTGTGACAGATGGCTGAGTACCTGGGCCAGAGTCGATGGGTTGTGGCCAGAGCCTGTCTGGAGTGCACCCGGGCAACCAAGTACCGGCAGCGGCTGAGTGGCAGCTGGGCCCTCGTCATCGCGATCCACTGTTGGCCGTTGACCACCTACCTATATGGAGACGCACCAGAATGGCACAGACATGATCCAGCGGGGTTGTTCCGTCTCATGAGAAACCAGTCAACTCCAGCGGCGGGGACTTGACTGGCTGTTGCTCCCAGGAAGGCATGCGAGTGTGAAGTATCGCCTGTCCCAAGGATAAGAACAGGTGATGCCGAACGAGCGCCAGTTCGAGGCCGCAGGAGGCTCTCCCTGCACCTGGGGGAGACTGTCCGTTTCGGGAAGGGGCATTAGGAGATCTCATTCGGAGGTGGGCAAGCACGGGGAATCGGACTGCAACCGCCTCCCTGTCAACTGCTTTCCCCCCCACCGCTCCTCCCCCCCAACTCTGATGCCTTCGCCGCCGGGTCACCAACGATGGAGGGGGGGTCCAGGCATAAGCTGGGGTGAAAAGCAGTGATCCAACTGAGACCCCCTTCGCGGATGGAATGAAGAGCCTTTGAATTCAGAACCAGTGTCAGACAAAGATGGACAACGAACCTCCCATTTCCATGGCAGGGGCGAGAGTGTGCCGTCGTGGCGCATGGCTGGCCAGGGGTTGCAGGGATCGCAAGGGGGTCGCACCAGCTGGCAAGCAGAAACCCTCAAGCCAATGAGGGTCCGACCTGGTGCTTGAGTCCCGGATCAGAGGCTCCACAGGAGCTACCGCAAACGATGACGTCCTTCACACGAAGCTCCTTCCAAGCTTCACGGTAACGTCACTGCTTCTGTAGTGCTTGTGCCCGTCTCCGTCTCCGTCTCCCCAGCGTGCCGTCCTGCCTACCCTCTCCACGGTAGGTACCTTGGGCACCCTGTCAATGGTGCAGTGCGAGCTAACGTGTCGGCCATTCCCCAGTGAGGTCTCGCTGAGTGCATCCGCCCGTCATCATCCTTCTTGGAAGCCCAGATTCAGCCAAGGACCAGGGCAAGCTTTTCCTCTGGTGCCGTCTCACCTGAAGTGCCCGAGCTGGGGCCGTCAGTCGGTGCCCTCTCTGCACCCCCCTTTGTTTTGTGGTAAAAAAAAAAAAA